TGAAGCATCAGTGCCAACACTGATGTTGCTGTCATTGATGATGGTGATGATGACAATGGACAAAATCAATTCATTTATAGAATAAGTTTGTATTAATGTGCATGTTAATGTGTTAATGTCGAGGAAAGGTTCATCCGAGATTATGCAACTGAGACTGTCTGCGCTAAATTCTGTTTACATTCATACCCATTACGCTGCTGATCAAATGCTTGCGGCTGAGTCAAATCTCTGAGTTCAAATCTCGTCCAGAAGACTAAGAACTCGAACCATCTAGATACCCGTGAGATATGTACCATCGATGATTACCCGCAAGGATGAAGCACCTATAAATTGCTGTTCGGCTTTTCAGCATCGACTGATTTCACTCCGGATTTGAAATTGGGTATGACCAGTTGAATGCAGTCGGTGTGCGTCTTTTTTCAGCAGTTTCACTCCGGAACACTAAAAATAAGCTATGTACACCCGGTTGGAGTAGGTTTGAAAAACAAGGTCGCTTTAGTGGACTTTCAGCAAATATGAATTTTCAAAACCGAATTGAGGAAGGAAACCAGGCTGCTGATTTTCTCCAAGACAACTGGAGAGCACCATAAAAATTATTGGGTGCGAGTTGTATTAGATCTCCACGGATAGCTTTAGGTTGGGTGACTGTCGGTCTAACGTAGGATGAAACACCAAGTAAGATGAAAAAAGGATTCCGAATAAGTGTAAGCATTCGTGAGCCAAGAATGTGGCCTTCCTCGTGGGACACTCAGGCAACAGCCTGTTGAATGGAAAACTACCCGGGAAGCAGATTCTAAAGCATATGAATACTACCTAGAATATATCACACATTCTCAACCAGAACGGTGAGAATGAAGCCACAAATATGGTTAAGCTGAATTCGTCTTATTAGTGGACCAAATGAAGTACAGGATTACGGCACGGATCACTGAACGACATGTTTTGTGTGCGCGGGTTGCACGCACAGAAAATCCTCACTGTGGTTTGTCTTCATCAGAGCTCGGTCACTGCAACAAAAAGTAAACTCATTTGACAAAATACATCAGAAACCTACTCTGTTCTACTGAACTCGATGGAACCCATTGTTACTAGCCGGAACATTCGTGGTTCGATCCCCACCACGGGAACTTGACTGCTCCTGGCGGGCTTGGGTGACCTTGCAGTGACTCCGCCCTTGTAATTCCATCGGATGGCACCATAGCTAAGCAACAAAAGTGTGCCTAGCTGATGGAATATTGTTCAGCTCCACCTGGTCCGATGAATAAGGTAAAGAGTCGAGAAAATCGTCCAGCTGTGGCATCCTTCTGGCGCCTAGCTGCCATGCCACTCGAAAGTAGCACGAGGGCTGGGATACTGCCAGGTTCTCCAAGCCTAGATAGGGGAAGTCGAGAGGCAGAGGGCAGGTTCGAACCACGGGCCTTCCGGTCAGTAAATTTGCGCTCTAACCATTGAGCCATCGCGCTCCAGTTAAAGAATCGCGCCATCTTCTTGAAGGCTGTTCCCGGTAGACGGCCTTAGCCTGTTGCAGACGAAGGTAAAACATAAGTTTGAAGGAAACTCGGGAACTGCGCTCACCAGATGCACCCCAAGAAGGGCGAAGCCAGTCATGGACTGTCGGAGAGTTTACAGCAACCTTGTGAGTAGTGTATTACGTCTATACAAGGTTTCTTTATGTTTTGTGACATGTCCTTCTCAGCGTGGCTTTATTATCTGCCCGAATGATTACATCTTTCACCCGAATGGAAACCATCTTCTACGGAACAGGTGATTGCTAAGTGGCATATCCTTTCAAGAAACCGCTGACCCAAACTTACTATTCGGCTGTCACTCTTAGTAGACGATTTAATTCGCAACACCACCGACCTATTCGCCCACTGTTCTTGTTATTTTATTTTATTTACGTTTGGTTTAGTTTAGTTTAGCCTAGTTTAGTTTAATTTGATTTAGTTTGGTTTAGTTTGGTTTAGCTTAGTTTAGTCTAGTTTAGTTTAGTTTAGTTTAGTCTAGCGTAGTTTAGTTTAGTTTAGTTTAGTGTATAGTATACTCCATGGCATTCGTTCGAACCAGTTACAGATTTGGAGGCTTAAAATAGGATGATAGGACAATGTTAAATCCACATTCATATAATTTCCGATGGTGTAGTACAAAACAGGCTATTTCTGTTTTATTTTAATTTTATTGCGGGGTGTTTCTCATCCTCATTCACAATCTGAATCGACCCCCACCTGCACAACAAACCACGGTAGGTATCCTGACTCACTTGATCCCAAGGCATCCAACAAACTCATATGAGGTCGAGGAGTCTTGTCAGCATTTAATTCAAGCGGCCCTCCTTGATAAGTGATGTCCCTAGTAGCAGTGGAGGAATAAACGGACAACAGGATCGATGTACACACTGTCTTATACCGCACTGTCTCCTAGGTACCCCAACTGACTTCAGTGTCACTTCACCGAATTTCATAAAGTCACGCAAAGTAGGGGATGATAGTGTCCCTGAGAAAGGCCACTTTTATCGAAGTTAATGTTCATCGCATTCAGTTGGTCTATTTACGCCGCTTCGGTGCCTAGCTGCCGTGCCATTCAACAGAAGCATAAGGGGTAAGATATTGCCAAGATACCAAAGACCAGATAGAACCAGTCGAGATGCCGAAGTTGGGTTTGAACTATGTACCTTTTAGTCAGTAAGTTCACACCTCAACTACTCAGCCATCCTGAGCTCTTACTTTCTGCCTTTTATATCAGGAACATTTTTTTAATTTGGGATCGTCGGACAAACCGCAATAAAATTCGAGTTAGCTACTGAGATTACTAGGGAGGCTCCCGTGTTCATTGGGGCTGGCTTGTGAATCGCAACCGCACACCTAATGAAAACACAAGAAAAATTCACTACAAACATGTAAAATTTACCGATAACTCTCCAGACTGTGATTGCATCTAGGATTAGATGTGTTCTCTCAAAGGGTCTGACGTCCACTGTGAAACGACTACCGACAAGTCTACCCTTTAGTTGACGATCTGAGTCTAAGAATCATGGAAAACAGAGGCCATTTTATCAAGATCTTGATTGAATTAACATCAGTCAGAAGCTTATCACCTCCGTTAGTTAAGCCGTTCCAGCCTTATCACTATTTGCTACTGTATGCGAGTATGAGCAGCATTATCACCATCAGTGTCAGGTTCAATAACGGCTTACTTGTCGTACTGTGGTTGTAGCTGCCACAGTTTCGTTCACCACTGATTTGGGTATGTGGGGTAGGTATCTGCGCGTTGCAGACGGGAGCTGGTAACTTGGTGCGTAAATACAGCACTGTCTCAGTGGACTGTTAACTGCGGAAATTGGGAATGAAGCTATGAATTGAAGGCAATAGCTTGGATGCATGAGAGCCATTGAGGGCGCGATTGGGCCATGTCTGACAATGTCTTTAACCTTTGATGTGGCCCGTGTCAGGGTCCCCCATCCAGGAAGACGGCAATGACCAGCACAGCTTTTCTACTTCGCTGCCAAGTCATTGTTTGACCGCCTCTGGCTCGTTTCCACCCTTCAATTGATTGTGCGAAAACGGCCCTTGGAGGAAGTCGTTCGACTGGCATACGCAGCATGTGACCAAGCCAGTGCAACCTATGCAGTGTATACGAGTACGAGCTATCGCTTGAAACAGTCTGTCGAACATCCCACGAAGTGTAAACTGGGCACGCTGTGAAATACATGTCCACTACACCAGACGTCAAGTGTATGGTCACGAGTGCATAAAGAATAAAATTCTGGAGGGGGTGCGTGATTTATCGCAAAAAACACTTCAGAGAACCGTTTTCAAAAAGTTCACATCTGACTAATTCACGCAAAATATGTGGTGGTCATTGTGAATATGGCAAAACACGTCTTTCTAGAAATTTCTTTAGTTAATCGCGAAAACATGTCAGGAGGAAGCTCAGCTCGCTCGTTCGACTTTGGTCATCTAGCTTTATGATAATAGCACAGATCACGAAGACCGGCCAGCAGCTTGGCAATCATACTGCTTGATAACCAAAGAAAACGAACCAAGGTTTGATAGAATAAAGCAGTTAAATCAAAAAACAATGTCATGACAAACAGGCCATACCAATAGATAGCATTTGGTCTCTGTGTGTGTCTTTCAAGACAGAGGAGCCGGATGTTCTGTCAGCTGAAATAAAAGAAGAACCACTGTTGTCCGGCAACTATATGTAGCATACACTGACGGGAAGAAAATACTATTAAACGCGAGCAAATGAGTTGCGGCACACTATAAGGCCAGTAGTTGGGTTGGTTAACGAATTACTATTAGTTAAGATGATTCACATCAGGTTGTGCAATCAATTGTTTCCGCACTCTGCGTACGAGCATCTCCGCTCAATATCCCTGAAGGTGGCCATGATGAAAGCAGCGACCGGAAGGACACTCGAAACTCCATCTGACTGTCCTCTAATTACGAGCACAAAGTGAGAGGAAAGGTCGAATTTGGCACAAAGAGGGAGGCTAGGTCAAGTTAGGTAACGCTGTTGACGCGGTTATTACTAGCTCATATCGTGTACTAATCAGCATGGTTGTCAGCTGAGACGTCGTTAACAGTGAGGTTCTTGATAGGCAAGTCTGGTCAGGGACCACTTACACAAATAACTACTGTTTATCCAGTCCCAATAGTTGCTGTACCAATTCCGTGAAGACCGGATCTTACCATCTTATTCTTTAAGTTTTTTCAAAAGATTGATAGACTTTGATAAAACTCAGCAGAAGGTTAGTATAGCTCCGCGCAGAGATTCTAGTATCCAGCTCGCGCACGTGTGCCTATGTCTCAATTGTTGAGTCACAGTGAGCTCGTATATGAGGTGAATGGTAGGAAGTTCAGCGAACCCGAAAGCCAGAAGAAACGAACAACCATCTAAAAGGTCCTCAAAGTTAGGAAAAGGTGAGAACATCACACGTGTCTGCAAAGTGGAGGACAAAGTGAAAGCAGAGTACAATGTCTGGATTTAGCGAATAGCCGAAGTAATTGGAGTGACCGATTCAGATTGAAGCTTGGAGCTTTAATCCATCATAATCAACATCAATAGCACTAAGCTATTTGCACTTTTACTGCAGCCTGAACCCTGCCTGCATGTTCGTCCGTACAATGGGGACAAGGACGATAAACCCACTCACTGACGCACGCTATGCTTTAGGCTACTCTGATGCCGTGCGTTCGCGTTCCTATACGTGTTCAAACGCGTGGAGACCCACGACTGTGGGGTATTCAGTATCAGGCAGACCAACACACAAACACACACGCAAACACTAACAGGTCAAAAATACGCACGCGATTAGGTTGTTCCTCGGTTGGCGTCTCAGAAAGCTGTTCTTTGAAATGAACGACATAAATATGCTCCAGCAGTGATGCTACCCCAGGTGTGTACTTTTAGCCTGCTGATCATGCAGGACGCCAACGGGGGTGTGTGATGACTTTAGGTCATGACACCCAACCACGGTTTTAAATTCAGTGTCATATTTAAATCATGTTCTAAGTAAGGCGTGCTTGAAGTAGCCACCAGTAGTGCCATCTGTGAGGGGCGTCTTAGTTTACCTACCGATGGTCCTTCAGACAAGCCTAGACAAACTTTAAGTAGCTCGGCTACGGAACTCAACCTGTCTGTGTGTTGAATACTCTGTTATTTCGACCGTTGAATTTATCTTGTCAACAGATCCGAATTTGTCTTTCATGATAACTTGTTCTTTGAATATCTACTATCATCGGTTAACGGCCCATCTTGGTATGTTTAACTTACTCATGGATGTTACTCACTTGCGGATAAACAGTAACCTGGCCTCTTACTTGCTGGTTGATGTCGCAAACTTTCGGGAAATTTGTTGCACCTGGTGACTAACTGGTTTGTTAGCTACTCGGTGACGGTAGAAGCTCGTTGCTGTGCCGCAGATTACTCGACAGAAAAGTACCTACTGTCCGGTATGGTCGAAGGATGGATGTAACCATCTTGACAGATAATCCGCCGATGAAATCACGCATATTTTACTCACCTTCCGAAATATAATTAAATAAGGAAACACCGTTCATAAGGTAGCTGGAGACATTCTGGCGGTGCAGACTGGGCGCGGTCCCCGAGCTTCCGGCAAACTTACGTTTTGCTTGAACGCAAATAGTACGAAATTCGTGAAACACCAAAAATGTGCACGCCAGCTTGGTTATCACGGGAAGCATAGCTGGATATTTCACCTAGAAACGGAAAAAACTATTCGTGGGCCGTTGAAGAGGTGTCAGCAACCTTATGGATAGCGTTCCTTCAGAAAAATATACAACGGTACCTCGAATATCATGGAACAAGGGGTGCCCTTTGGCCATCATATTAAAAAAGTGGGACATTCATGCAGTAGTAAATTGATTCTCCAGTCAAAACTAAATCAGCGATAATTAAATAAAATTGATGGATGTAGGGCCGTGAACTATCAGCCTCTACACTGATGTTGCTGTCTCTGATGACGATGATGATGGTGATGTCGACTACTTTATATTGCAAAGCGCATGGGCTTACTTTTTTGGTTAAGCTTAGATAGGAAGTACGGTGAGAAGGCCCATAACACTCTCAGTTGAACCGATAGATTGAAGTACACGGTGCACTTGATTTTGTGTGCACTACGACGGATCTCTCAATGCAAGTCTTATAAAGAACGTGTTGTGGGAAACGACAAGCTAGCAGTACAATTTATTCGAAATAATCGATTAAAATGCATTTCCACATGGCCGCTCAAGCCTCGCACAATAATTCAACCACCTGTATGTACACACACACACACACACCTGTGATTGACGACCCACGCAAATAGTGTTGAAACACTAAGATGACAGGTAAATATCTGGCATTCTTGAGTCCGGTGGTCAGGCTGCCTGGCAAAGATGTCATGAGAGATCAGTAATATAGTGTGGCTGTTCCTCAGATATCAGAAGCAGGAGAGGAAGGAACCGAAACAGCGCAGCCAATTCGCAGTTTCTTGCCACAGCGGAGCCACTGTAACCCATGGAATCATCACATCCAAGCCAGCAGACAAGCAGCAGGTCTACTGGCAACCTAAATTTGATGACATGTTTGTACTCGAGCTGATATGGGCGCTAGAGCTCTCCAGATGCCATGGGACAATAGATTTTAGAAACCCAGAGAGATCAGCTGACGTTTAGCTTGTTTGCTATGGTTTTGTCACCAACCCATGTGTTTCTTAACTGGCCTCATAGCAAGGGACAGGCCGTCTAGAATTGCTACATGACCCTATCCCGACTGGTCTGTTTCCTGTAGCCGGCTATCGAAATATACCTTCATTGTTTCTTCGATTGAAAAGTTATATTCTTGGACCTTCGTCATACATTAGGAGTTTACTCACTCATTTTATCCCGAAAAACCCCAAGTAAACGATCAACGCATTGGCTGCCCAGTTATAACGGACTGAACCGTAGGAAAAAACGCATGCTATAATTCATTTTCCAACACCCACTGTCCCACAGATAACTTGCCCAAAAAATACAACTTTTGCACAAAAATGCAAGATAAAACAGTTCGCTAGGTGTAGACTAGGACATGAATGATCCTTACGGGATACGTCCATACAAGTGATTACCACATTATGTGACAGTGATCTTATTTTGCCTGCTCGGTGAGCCGAAGTCGGAACACACTACTCATATGGTTACTTAAAACTATTCGACAACACAATCTCGGTTTCTCCCTACAGGCACAGTGCTCGAGTTTGTGAGCCTTGTTGCACAACTTGGAGTAAGCACCAGGGCTGAGGTACTGCCAAGCTGTTAAAGCCCAGACACAGAGGGTCGAAAAGCCACGGAACCACGAGCCCTTGCCCCTTAACCGTCGAGCTGTCTGGAGCGAAAACAAGCAATATGCCTTGGTAACACGAGGTTTTTATTTACTCTAGTAGTGCTTCTGTGACATTATTGTAGGTGCACATATATAGGCATAACTTTGCCTCAAAGTGCCCTGAGCTAGTAAACGGGGAGCTATTTACTTCCCCCAGAGTCCAAAGCGTCGTGGAGCTCGACGTTTCCATGACGGTTTGACATCATTACAAAGGGGACAGTGTTACCCAAAGTACTGATGGGCAGGTAATGTGGATGGAAGCTACCCATCAGATATCTCTTCTTCAGGCTTGAAGGTATATAGGACTGAGAAAAATCGATAAGACATCAGTAACACATCAGTCGTCCATGGTGGGATAGAGTGTAGAGATCATACGCTCCCATGTGTTGACCATCTGGTTATAGGAAAACTTTCCTCCGAACAATGTATCGCGATATCTCGAATATAGTAGCGACTGAAACATGAAGCGGCCTGGTGCAGCACATTCAGTTGCCTGGAAACATCACAAACGAGAGATTCAGCTGGGTTCCAGGTGAGTCTCTCACAAAACCAAATTAGTTTGCAAATGAGTGTAGTTCACTAAGTTCACGCAATTTGGTTTCAAGTAGAACATAAGGTTGATGGAAACTCTGGGTGTGCGCCTACCTGATGAGCCCCAATAAGAGCGAAACCGGTCGTGGGCTGTCGAAGAATTTTCAGCAACCTTGTGAGTAGTGCATTACGCATATTTTCAAGCAAATTTCCCCAGACTAGTTCACCCGTGGGGCAACGGTCTCCCGAACAACTGCCCCGAAATATGTAGGCATTGTGTGCAGTAGATTACCAGTTAGCTATAGTATCAATTACTCCGGGTTGCGTACTCATCCTCATTTGTGAATTCGCAAGGTAAGGAGAAGCAGTAAGCTAAACTGAACGGAAAGTATGAGTTTCTTTGGCCCTAAGCAAAATTGAACAAGGCTGGGTGTCAGCCGCCTGTTTAACTTTCATCATACTGCGCTTGTTAGACCGAACAGAGTGAACAGTAATCACATCACAACCGTTAGGTCCTATTGGTTCCCTTTAAGCTGACAATAGTTGTTTACATGGCGTAAGGTCACTCGATAGTTTTTCTGGACAAAACGCCGTCCTTATGGAAGACTACCTAGACATAACTTGGCTGACCAGCCAAATTAAAACGACAGCCAGACATATCAGTAGCTTGTCAATCTTATGAGCTGCACAATATTTGAACGGTGATGCAATCTGGGACTCTTTGAAACACGTGGCGCTCAGTTGTCTAGTTGGCTGGTTAAAGACTAGCCTATATGAAGTTGAAAGTAAATCCATACTTTACAATGATCACAACATTTACCCGAGAAACAGTGATTGGGAGGTCTTTGTCCTGATTTCAAATGTCTGACCGCGCGAACGTTATTAGTGTCGACTATCAAGTACGTTAGGTGAGCTAACAAACTGCCGTTGTACTTGTCTATTCATCAGTGCATAATTCTCACTTTTACTGTGGTTCTGAATCAAGGACTTCCATCGGTAACAAACAAAATCCATATGCACCCAAGGACATAACTGCCACTTTCACAGCATAGCTGAAAAACAGCGCCAAATCTGGTAGGTTATTAGTGGAATAACAGAACGTCAGAAATCGTACGTTTCAGTTACTTAGTGACAAACTATTCTCTGCACACACAGGTGTAGGTTTACCAGAAAGCAGGCGAGGTGATCAATTTGGGTTGGCCTTTTGATAAAAATTTGATCAGTAACTTGGCCACAAGAAATGCTTCACCCATATCAAGACCCATCAGATAGACATAGAGTACCAGGCTGACTGACTGTTCGTCTCCCTCTGAGGTAAGTCGATCTGTGGGACCGAAGCAGTCAGTTTCCAGATGTTGTAACTATCAGGTTACCTCTGAGGATCAGCAGCAGTTCATGGGTAAAGTAAAGCGGCTACGATTCTTGAAACGGTTATTCCCAGTCGTTTGTCCCTCCGGAAGAAATGAAGTCCACACTGTTGTCACGCCCCTAACGGAGCCTGTGCTTCCCATGACTACGGAAATTGATACTAATACCAATGGGAGACACTCCCGAGTTTTCTTACACCATATCTACTGATACAGAAATGTTATTTGTGGAGAATCGATGATATACCAAGCCTAACATGCCTAGCTGTTGAACCAACGTTTTAGGCGATCTTTTAGCAGACAACTGTTTGCTAGTTATCCCCTGGAGCTTCGGTATGCGTGATGAGGAGCGGAGTTCTTACAAAACGAAATTCTCACGATATTGAATAGCATGAACTTGTTTACGGTAGGAAATACTTACTGCCTTTCAGACTCAGCTAGAATGTGTTAAATAAAAAACAATGTACTTTAACAGGGCATTTATGTGGAATGCACAAATAAAGTTCACAAACAGTAAATTTCAACTCACAGACTGACAGTTTGAAGGCGTACAGGTGCGGCTGTGAAGCACATTAAAGCCCAAGAATTGGTACGCTTGAGCTAAACCGACATCCATTATCGCCAGACACCCTAGGATGAGTGCCCTACATACCCCCGCTTGATTGTTCAAACCTATAGTGCTTTTTGTTCTGACCACGTTCGCAAATCACCAATAGTGTGCTACCTTGAGACGTGTTCAGCCACCACCTAGTCGTTGGTGGTAGGCGCCACGACCAGCGGTGGCTCATTGGTGCGGAAGTACGGACATACGCGTGTCAAACGTGTACGTTGTGTGCGCATACGAATTCACAAGTCGCGACTGTATACGTGGCACTGGTTGAGTAGCGCATGGTCGGATTGGTGGAACGCCGCTCCAGATCCAGGATCCGCGGCAAGTCGTGACAGCTCGCAGTGCATGTGGGAGAGGTGTGCGAGCGAACAGCTGGACGCTTGTGAGAAATGCACGCCTATTGTTCAGTGGGCTGATTCATGCAGGTAACGTTCGGGGAGCATTATGGGAAAAGACCATCTGTCCTACACATGGTTTATTGATCGGCGCAAAATCGATCTTATGAACGTTTTCCTTGCTAGAACAATGAGGCAAAATGACTTGAGTATGGTGTGCGTGGTAAGAGCACGAAACGCTGCCTACATTTTGCTAGAATGGATATAAATATGAGTTATCACAGAGACGCCGTACTCCTTATGGCCTTAATGCTTCCTGCAACAACCAATATCAAAACAAACGGAAGCCATTTGATCAACATGTTCAGTGTCGTAAAAGTTCAACAGAGTATTCAGTCTGTTTGATCTCACTGTCGTGGAATTCGGGGTTAATTTTGCAGACTTTTTTCTGCATTTACCGAACTCCTGTCAACTCATCCGCAAGGCGAATGAGTACCCATGATCTCTGAATCAACCGGTCTGAGAACTTTGCGGCTGAGTGTTGGACAAAGTTGTATATCTAAATGGTCTGGAACCGTCTACCGATTAAAGATAGGAATTGAGCGAATCCAAACTTCGGATTTTGTTACACCTACTTTTTTTCAAGAAAATGGACGAAAGTTGCGTTCATGCAGCACCCATTGCCTTTGTTGCTGTGGCGTCTTCAATGTTCAAGCTCTCAGGCTGTCCAACACGTAACAAAACAACGGAAAACTTATTTAACGAGAAAAAAAAAGATTTGGGATACCCGATCCCGATACTCGAACCTGGCGGTTAACTTTTTTGATGTTCGGGCCCAATGTAGACTCGCTTTTCGGCCTAGCGACTAATTTTGAATTCTAGCAAACTGCTTATTGCTCACGATCTAATGGGAGTACAAGCATTCCCACATCCACCATAGTACCACCAAAAAAGGGTAAACTAGCACTTACCAGCTAACAAACACGTGTTGAACAAGGAGGTTTCGAAGGTATACTCTTACCATTCGAAGAGTTTTCAGCAACCTTGTGAGTAGTTCCCTTTATGAAAATGTACTGCGATATCTCGAATATCGTGCCAACTGAATCATGAGGCGGCCTGCGTGCAGCCCATTCAGTTGTAGAACATCATACAAGAGAGATCCAGTTGAGCCCCTTGTGTAAATCAAATTGATTTGCAAATGAGTGTATTTCTCGAAAACGTTTTTATTCTCCACTTTATTTGTCACCTAATTTAACTGTACTTAAAATTTGTTGCGTTGAGTAAGATAAAACATTGAGGAAACAAACAAACTAAAGGTGTGGGCGATTGTTCTCATTTGGTTAGTTGTGATTTAGTTGCTCTTCCCTCTCCAAACCTGTGAAGTGATCTGTCTGATAGGAAGTCCTATGCAACTCGCTCCGTCGTTGGTCACACAAGCTCTTCAGAAGATATTCTGGAACTTGTCTTCGGGCCACATCCCACACCTGTTAGAACGGGATAAATAAGCTTCCAACCGAAGCCTTCTTGTTGTAGAATTGTCCACACCAAGTGCAGACTTTTTTAAGCAATCCGAAGTAGTGCAGATCAGAGCGGCGTCCCAGGACTACTTGAATCGAAAGCAGACAGAATAACTATCAGTTCGAGTTTCCAGCCGCAAAACATATGTGTGAAGAAAGTGGTCTCGCATTTGAAGATGAATTTGTTTTTAACAGTAAAATCATCTGGATCCAGCTGAATCTCTCGGTTATGCTGGTGTTACGTGCAGATTACAACATATTGCGATATCTCTAACATCGTATCAGTTGAAACATGAAACGGTCTGGTGCAGCCCATTCAGTAGAAGCGGACAATCAGAAACTAGAGATTCAGCTGAATTCAGTTGAATCTCCTATCAAACGACTGTATCTTTCTGATTTCGTACAAGTTGGGTTCAAGTAGAAAATAAGGCTGACGGGAACTCGGGAACTGCGCCTATCTGATGAGCCCCAAGAAGGCCAAAACCTGTCGTGTACTGTCGAGAAGTTTTCAGCAACTCTATAAGCGGTAATCTAGATTATTTCTTGGTGAGCTTAGTGACATGTATAAAACTCACAAAAGACGAGCGTCACGGGCTGGCCGGTTCTTCCAGCCAGCAACTACTTTGGTTGACCGATATCATAGGCATCTACATTAGTGGTTTCCGAATAGGTAGCGTTTGTCGTTACCTGACTGCCGACTTCTGGATAGCATAAGGCAAGAAAGCCGCTTTGAATCCCCAAAGATGAGGCTACTCTCTTCTTGGAACTGACCCCGCTTGGAAGCAGTTTATATCTCTTATTTAAAAACGGATTTTCGGACTATCACTTTAACTGAAACTGTACACGCTTCTGTGGTATCCCCTTTGGAGAACAGCACTGTAGCTGCGTAAATGAGGAGTTGGTGTTGCATGGAATTACCTTACTCCTCGATCTATGCTTTCAGTTCAGTATTCACATTCCATTATGAGAAGCTTATTACAACTAAGAGTGAAACTCATGCACTGCATCCAAAACAAATCGTTCGGCTGTAGCACCCTTTCGGTGCCTAGCTGCCACGAAGGGAGTACAAGAGCTGGGATAATGCCAGGTTGCCCAAGCCTAGACAGGGGAAGTCGAGAGCCAGAGGTCGGGTTCGAACCACGGGCCTTCCGGTCAGTAAATTCGTGTTTTAACCACCTGATCCATCTCGCCCCCTCCCAAACAAATAGGAGCATTTTGGTTAGTTAAAACTGGATTGGGGATGCGGTGGAATCGAATTTTCTTCTCAATGGTGCTCCTTAGAAAAGCACATCCTTGCCTATGCCTTGAGTTGAAATCGGGATTGCAAGGTGCACGCTGGATTAGCCTGAACCGCCATGTCCACTGAAACGAATGCGTTTTCACTTTGAGTGCCGTTACAGGTTTGCCCGAACCCTCAGAAGGACTAGTTAGTTTAATCTTGCCGGGACAGGATGAAGGCTCGTAAAACCCGAGTTGTGTAGAAATAAACTACGAATTCCGCAACTACGCGCCGGTTGCAAATAATCAGATAACAATTCAGAAGATTTTCCAAACAAGATTTTTCACTGAACATATCCGAAGACATGCGAAAACCGCATCTGTTCTACCACTAGTAGGCATACCACAAGGGTCGTGGTTTTGCTGACATGTACACCTTTCGGGTTAGTCCGAAAATTCGTTTCTAAAACTGTCGTTAACACATTCATCCGGATCGGCTTGAACAATGCAGTTGTCGATGCAAGGTTGAGTTTGAACTGACTAATAAATCCCACATTACGAAGTTTTATTATCCGAATACCGATTGACACAGAGAAGAAGCTCTGAAGAAGAACTTTTCATGTTATTAGCGCAAAAGCTATGCGAACGAATTTTTTGAAATAAAGAAAAAAACCAGTGGAAAACGAAGTCATTTATTCAGCCAGAAGAAAGAGTTCAAACGCTGTTATCATTCGATCAACAGGTGACCATACTGTCGGAGTAACTTTCGGTGTAGAATCCTAGTAGTACTGAGCTCTGGTAGAAGATTCTCGAGTACTTCCCATTGAAACGTGAATGTATGGACAGTTTTTCGATGCACAACAAGCCTGAATGAAATTACGGATCCAACACACCTTATACAGACCACACAGGTAGGTGTATACTAAATAAATTCACTCGCAAAGTATACGACGGACTACTGACGGAACACTAATCATAATGTTGCTGAAACTTCTTGAATGTCCAGGACCGGTTTCGACCCCCCCCCCCCCGGGGTTCATCAGGTTAGTGCAGTTCTCGGGTTTCCGTCAGCCTCATGTTCTGTTTGAAACAAATTCGTACGAAATTCGCCAGATACATTCGTTTGTAAATTAAAACCCTTTCGACTGGAGAGTTTTCTGAACCCCAGCTGAATATATCGTTTATAGTGTGTTCCGCCATGAAAATACACTGCAAGATCTGGAATATCGTACCGACCGAAACCTGAGATGGCCTTTGTACGGCATATTGATTTGAAGAGCATACAGTAGAATGTCTTGGCTTCCTCTTCTCGCGGGCACTCCCTTGACATGGTAAGAGTATTCCATCAGATGTTCACGCGTGTCTATGCCACACGAGCAAATTTGTCTAATTGTTGACGTTTTCTGAAAGGAATGTGGGTCAAATTTTGCCTTAAAAAGCAGACTGTCTTCCAATTTGGTCCAAATTAAGTGTCTTTCGATTTAATGTCAATTGAACTATGCGTTCCCTCCAACTCTCACACTATGACATTATAAATTGGCTAAGATATGTAATTGATGTACGGCGGCAACGGAAGTGTGGCTTTGCTACCCTGTTATCCAAAATATCCAGCAATATCTTTCGTTGCCTTCCAGAAGACCTCTTATGAGCATCTGCATTCAATTCTCTGGGTTTTTTCCAATTTAGTCGTGAGATCATGTGGGTCTGGATCATGTGAGATCTGGATCCACCAACTGTCAACGGCATCCAGGTACCCAGCAAACCTGGAACAGTTCGGAAAGGGTGAGGATATCCATCGTTGTGCCTGTCAGTCCCCCCCCT